CAGCCGTCCGCGGCGCTGTGAAGTGCCCGCAGCCCCCGCAGCCCGAGTTCGATCCCCGGCCAGGGAGGGACCCCAGGGCGCAGCAGACCCCTGTCCCCCACTGCCCCTCAGCAGCGTGTCTCAGGGGACCCGCCTGTCCTGCCCCCCGCTCTGTCGCTGGGGCTCCCCTCACTCTGCACCTCTGGCCTGCACCCTGGCTCTGGTGTGCATAAATAAATAGATCTTTTATACAAAAACAAAGAAGAAATAACTTGGGGCCTCCCGGGGGACAGCACAGTGAGGCTGTACCCCGCCACTGCAGCCTGGGTGCACCCCTGGCCAGGCAGGGGTCCCCGGGGAGCCCCAGACCCCCCTCCACCGCCCCCCGCTGCGCCTCAGCAGTGGGTCTCAGTGGACCGGCCTGTTCTCCCCACTCTGCCTCTGGGGAGTCCTCAACCCCACACCTGTGGCCTGCTCCCCAGTTCTTGTACACACAAATAAATCATTCTTTAAAAAAAATCACTTTGGGCCTCCCTGGGGCCCCGGGGGTCAGCCTCAGACGTCTCCTCCAAGACCCAGGCCCATCCCCAGCCAGGAGTTGACCCCTGGGGCGCCCCAGGCCCCTGTGCCCGCTGCCCCTCAGCGGAGTTTCTCGGGGGATGGCCTGCCCTGCCCCCACTGTCTCTGGGGCGTCTGCGACTCCCACCTTTGCCCTGCACCCCGCTGATAGCCTGCTGCTGTGAAGGTGAGTGGCTTAGCCAAGGGGCATCGCCCGCCTTATCTGCCCTCCAGGCCTCGCTGGCCGCTATCTGGCCCCGCAGGGCCTGAGGCCTGCCTGCTGGCCGGGGCTCCCCCTCCCCCCCCACGGCCTTCGCTTGTTTTTGTTTTCGCAATGGTGACAGTTTTCAGAATCAGCCATTTCATATACATATATATTTTTTTGGATTCACAATTTTAATAATCAATTGTGCCAGTAGAAGCTTTTCAAAGGCAGTGATGTATCACAAGTAACAGTTGAGTTCCTGAGGAAGGGCCAAGAGAGCATGTCAGCAACGGCAGGCGCCACTGCAGAATAGCGACAGCACTGACGGTCGGGACCAGCACGGCCACGTCAGTCTGCCCTTCACACAAATGTAGACCAGTACACCGGGATCCTTTTTTCTAAAGTTTGGGCATTGATAAACTTAAAAGTGTTGTCTAGATATATACTAAATAATGGATACATTATACTAAAAACTAAAAGGAAAAATATGCGGAATAGTAGAATGAAAAAGATGCATCAGATCAGAGAATTGACCGTTTTACTCAAATATAAATCACTTTAAACAGGAATCATACTGATCTGAAACAAGGAATATTTTGTGCGTTTTTCCCTTCCATACATTTTAAGAGCTGGGCTCGGGCCTCCCCGGGGCCGGGGACCTGGGGCGGTCACTGCCGTAGCCAGGTCCATCCCGGGCAGGAGGCCCCCAGGGCGCCCAGGGCCCAGGCCCGTCCCTCAGCGGGTGGCTCACGCTTGCCCTGCCCCCACTCTGGCTCTGAGGAGACCCGACCCCGCCGCTCCCTCCCCAGTTCTTCTCCACGCGAATAAATGGAGTTCAGCTTGTCTTCTAAGAATTGTTTTTCTTCGCCGAGCTGGTTTCGACGTGGGCGCGTGGGAAGCCAGAGCCCAGGTGCCCGCCCCGCTCCAGGCCTGCTGCCGTGTCGCAGCCGCGGGGGCGAGGGGCCGAGGCCCGCGGGAGGGTCAGCGCTTGGAGCAGGGGTCCAGTGGGGTTTTGCACATTCACCTTGGGGTGCAGTTGGCCTCACTATCACTGATGAGCATCTTCTGCAGCCCCCAAATCCGAGCGCCCAGGATGCAGGGCCCCGCCAGCTCTCCGGGCCAACACCCCGGGGCCCCGCCGCCTCCCCGGGCCCCGCCGACTCCCCAGCCCGCCGCCCTCAGGCCTGGGCCCATTGGGGTGCGCCAGCCCTCCTGAGCGCTGAGACCCCCCCACATGCCGAGGGGGCGCCATGCCGGCCGCTGCCCCTACGCCTCCGGGGGGTGACGCGAGCTGTGCCCCCCCCAGGGATGGCTGTGGGCTCACACAGGCCCCAGCCATCCTGCACCTGGTGCCCAGCCAGCACGGACTGAGCAGAGGCCGCGGCAGCCCAGGGCTGGGCTTGGCCCCGGGGTTGTCCGACTCCTGCTCCAAGGTCGCCAGGGAGGGGCTGGACAGAAGCACTGGCCGAGGACCCTCCACAGGGCGCTGCAGCCGCAGGGCCGGCACGCGGGCGGGTGGGTGGGGGCCTGTATGGCTGCTGGGCTCTGCGCACTCAGCCTCAGACTGGCTTGTCGGTGAGTGAAGACCAGAGCAGCTGGGCAGCAGAAAAGGGGTCAGTGTCTGGCCACCTGGCCTGGGGCTCTGGTGGGGGATTCTGGGGTGGCTGTGGGAGGTCACGGGGACCGTGGTCAGGTCTTCTGGGCAGCCTCAGCTGGGCAGGCCCTTCCCACGGAGCCCCAGGGGTGAGTGGGGGGCCGCAGGGACGATGCAGGCGCAGGCAGGGACTTGGGGAGCTCAAGAGGCGTCTGAGATGAGGGTGCAGAAATCCAGGGGGTGGTGAGGGGGTAAATTTTGAGCCGGACAGGGGTGGGTGGGTAAGTGAGGGGCTCTGGGGCCAGCGTCAGTGCCTGCCAGCCCCACCCCAGCCTGGAGCTGGCCCCAGGGCACAGCTGACCCCCGTCCCCAGCTGTCCCCAGCTGCCCCTCAGCAGCGTCTAGGTGGGCCGCCCCTCTGCCCCCTCACCCCTGGGCTGCACCCCAGTTCTTGCGTGCATAAATAAATCTTTAAAATGAAGAGAAACACTATGCTAAAAGCTGGGAAGTGTCTGCCCTGGGGGACTGGCCCTGGGGCACCCAGCCCTTCGCAAACAGGGGGGCAGGGCTCACAGAGAAGGGGGCCCGGCAGCCCAGCCCGCAGCTCCGGCCCCACCCCAGTCTCTGCGCAGCCGGCTCCGGCCCCACCCCAGTCTCTGCTTTCGCTTGTTTTCCTCTGCATGAACCATTGCTTTCTCCATGGAAGCTTGCTGGGCTCATTCACTTGTGAAGTCTGCGGACTCCCTTTTCTTTTGCTTTAAAAAAGTTTTTCTAAAAAGAAGCACATGTCTTCTGCGGCAACATGGAGGGAGCTGGACCGGTGGTTTCTCCCATAGCAAGCGCGAAGCAGGCGAGAAAATAATGATAACGATGCGTGGCTACAGACCAGAGACCGTTTGTGGGGGCGTAGTGGGGGATGGGATCAAAAATGGGGGGAGAGAAAGGCAGAGGGTGACTCGGTGATGGGAAACCCGCGGGGATTGCAACTGGGATGGAAAAATGCACAAACATGTAAAACTAAAGTATTATAGTAAAAAAAATTAAAGCTTTTCTAAACGTGTGCACACAAGAACCGGGGTGCCGGCCAGAGCTGCGGGGGCGGCGGCAGGGGTGCGCGGGCGCCCAGAGCGGCGGTCCGATCCAGCCCAGCGAGGGTCCCACGGCTGTCCTCTGGCTGCCGGCCTCGGGGGGCCACCGGCAAGTCTGCCCACGCCTGCGCCCGCGGCCTCGGGCCCCCCTTCTCTCGGGAGCTTGCAGACAGCCCGGCGGCGCCCCGGCCGCCCGCCACGAACGCAACCGCTTTCCCTTTCCCGCAAGTTTCCTCTACTGGCCGAGGGGCC